AGACTCTGTGTGACTGTGATGTGACTCTGTAGCTTTTATTGATTATTATTTATTTACATAAAGTCAAATGCCAAAAGCAAGACCGTGTATTTGTATTCTGGTTAATATAAGGTTGTAAACAATGTAAAGGAATGCCAGGACTTCTGACAATTAGCCGATAAGAGTTGCAAGCATGCCTGAGGTTAACACTCCACCCTGTAATTATTTTAATGTGGTTGCATTGTCAGACTGCATGCTTGTGTGAGAAGCACAAAAGAGCCGCATCTTTGGGATGAATGTAGGATGCAGACAAAAGAAAAAAGCACATGAAGGGTTACATCTTCCCACAGATCCGTGCTCCTGAATACAACTCTTATTTGAGCAGCCATGAATTATTTTCCGTCATACTCAATATTTTCATCAGATAAGCATCTGACATTTTTCACATGTTTTACGGGTTTTCTCAGATTTTTATCAACAGTCAGTGATTCATTAGGAAAAAAAACAATCTTGTTTTTCATTTACAAAAAATCAGACTACTAAGGGTTGTAAAGGGCTTTACAGTCAATCCTGAAATTTAGCTTTGATTAGTCATGTTTGACTGATTTGTTCCTAAATTGAGCTATTTTTAGACGCAGTCGTTCACAGAGTGGCCTTTGAGTACCTCTCAAAGACTCTGCCTCCTTTAAAAGAAATTTTTTTTATACACAGTCGTGTTACTAATTTACCAGATTAGATGGTTGATATTGCATATACTTTCAGTTATGCCAAACATCATAACAATAACATTTTTTAACTTACTTTTATTCATCCATAAAATATATTACCAAATGTAAATAAGTGCAAAGTGTACAGTCAGAAAACTTATTTGAACCCCTGCTGATTTTGTAAGTTTGCCCACTAACAAAAGAAAGTTCAGTCTATAATTTCAATGGTAGGTTTATTGAACAGTGAGACAAAGAACAAAAACCAAAAAATCCATAAAGATGCATTTCAAAAAAGTTATAAATGAATTTTTTATTTCCATGAAGGAAATAAGCATTTGCTCCCCTATCAATGAGGAAGATTTCTGGCTCCCAGGTGTATTTTATACAGGTAACGAGCTGGCAGCCTTCTTAACTTGTTACCTGTGTAAAAGACAACGGTGCGTAGAAGAAACAAATTTCTCCAGATTTAAAACTGTACCATGGCCAAGACCAAAGAGCTTTCCAAGGATGTCCGGGACAAGATTGTGCACAAGGCTGGAATGGGCTAGAAGACCATCGCCAAGCAGCTGGGTGAGATAGTGACAATAGTTGGTGTGATTAATGGCAAATGGAAGAACCATAGAATAACTGCCAAGCTTCCTAGGTCTGGAGCTCCACGCAAAATCTCACCTCATGGAGTTTCAATGATAATGAGAACAGTGTGAAACCAGAAGGAGAACAACTCTGGAGGAACTTGTGAGTGATCTAAAGGCAGCTGAGACTGTAGTCACCTAGAAAAGAGTTGGTAAAGCAGTTGGTAACTGCAGTGCCTGCAAGGTCCCTCTGCTCAACAACTGCTTTTTTTTTTTTTTTTTTTTTTTTTGACCCTATGCGACCTATATCCGATCATGGTATGACAGTGTGAACGGCACAAATCCAATATTTTCAAGTCCGAAGTCTTTATATTAAGGGCCATCAGTCAAACAATGTTGTGTGTTCTGGGTCTAAACAGAGCGCGTTGTGTGTGACGTCTTCTTTTGTGCATGCGGGCCGCTTTGAGCGTTCACAATAGAGCGCGTTTGCTGTCGCATTTTATTTGTAGTGTGAACAAGCAGACAAAAAAATCGGATTTGATCAAAAAATCTGAATTGAGCATTAAGACCTGCAGTGTGAACGTAGCCTAAGACTTCAGAGGGTGAAGCAGATTTCCTTGAACTGGAATTTGCACTCAGCTGATTAAATGGAATAAACAAATGTGAAATGAACTCGTCATTCCCCAGCCTGGCTGGAAGCAAATCTGGACTCTAATGAAGTAGCAAAAGTATAGAAAAGGGATTTTGCTGAGATGAAATGCAAACCAGTATGTATGGCACAATCATTGTAAGTCCTGGATCCACCAGGTGTGTTTTGACATTACACAAATTTTCCTGTGTGTTGTTCCAACCTTCTTGAAACAAGCTGCTGGCTTCAACTTCAAAATGAGCTCTAGTTTCCAAAAAACACCGACACTGATACGTTTCCTTTTGTGCCGGTTTCAAATGATTCTGCAACTGAAGTGAATTTGAGCCAAAACGTTTATTTTGGCAAGCTGCAAGTTATACTTAAGTATATTCTCTGTTCATATATTCCACATTTTGATGCCATCACTACAAAAAAAATATTTTCTTGGCCCTGAGAATGTTTTAAAAACATTAAATTGTTTAAAAAAAAAAAAAATTTTGGCCTTAGAATTGTGGAAAATAAAATGCTGATTGGTGACCCAGTTTAAATAATAAAGTAGCAGTCCTTCTTACTGACAGGTGTTTCTATGATCTCCTCTCCATATTTTATGGCCGTGAAAAAGGCTAACAGAAATAACTGTCTGTATAATGTGACAGAACCCAAAGACCCTTTCACAAAAGTGATGAAATCAGTGAAAAGTGATTTCAGCACTTCTCTGAAACGGATTAAAAATGTAACTTCTTGTGCTCTTTAATTAGACTTGACCTGGTGTACCTAATAAATGGGGACTTGGGCGTGCTCTGAGTACTTGTAGAAGTGAGTCTTACTACTCAGCAGCCACCTTCATAACAACTTTATGCACTTAATGAGCAATTATTTTGAAGCATTATGTAAATTATCTTTATTTCAAAGGCCACTGGGACATAACTCCATGTATAATATCATGAGTTAAACCTGATTTAAAAAAAAAAAAGAAGAAATTTGCTGATTTTGGCTTAAAATAAGATTCTTTGTTAAACTTTTGCTCCCCTGGATCTTATACTTGTACCGCCATCTGTGCTGCTGCAGAATTCTCTGCTAGATTTCAATTAATCATTTATCGAGTGCCATGTCCTCTCTTGTCTCCGGTGTAACATCCTGGTTATTCCTAATTTATAGGAAGTTTTACTGTAGTGTGTTTGTGTGCTTGTAAAAAGCTCTGACGTCATTGACACTTGAGATGCTGAAAGACGGCACAAAAAGACAATACCTCCAAAATGATTCTCTTCCTGTGATCGTCTCCACAAGTAATCTGGGCCACAACAAGTAGATTTTCCTTGAAATCCACATGTAAAGCTCGATTTTCTTACACACTTTTAAAGGGAAGAATGCAAATGGATTGACAAAACTTTTCTAGTGTTGCTGACTAGTCACTTGCTTTAGACTACAAAACATTACACTGAGATTAGCAATTTTAAAGCTTTTAATACAGATTGGGTTAAATAATTTTATAACCTCGATGTTGACACCGTTCTGTAGCTTGATGGAAAATACATGCTGTGTAACTTTCATGATGATTTCAAAGTTCACCGTCATTCCTGGAAGCAGCAGCTTGCATAACAAAGTCACCATAAGGTCCACCTTCAGAGGAAGAGTTTGATAAATGATTGAACGTTTCAGCTGCTGGATGAGATTGTTGCGTCAGCCACTTAACAGAAGAACAATTAATCTTTAACTCATTTTGAAATATAACTTCCTCTGTAATTTTGGCAAGCAGAATTTATATTCACAGTGGTGAAGGTGTTTCTAAAATTTTGTACAACCCAAGTGAATAGTATTCAATTTAAGTACTTATTAAAACACAGATATATTAAGAGTAAATTAATTAATTTCGCTTTACTGGTTGATCCTTTCCCAACCTCAGTTAAGGTCACAAGCTCTGGGTAGTGAACTTAAGAGGTGAGGAGCTCACCTACTCCATCTCCAAGCATGAGCAGCTGATTAGCCTCAGCATCTGACTAGGATGCCTAGGTGTCTCTCACCCCAACTGATGGCCCCCGCGGAGGTTTCTTCCTGTTAAAAGGGATTTTTTTCCTTCTCTCTGTCACCAAAGTGCTTGGTCATAGGGGGTCATGTGATTGTTGGGTTTTTCCTCTGTATGTATTATTGTAGGGTCTACCTTACAATATAAAGCCCCTTGAGGCGACTGTTGTGATTTGGTGCTGTACAAATAAAATTGAATTGAATTGAACTAGGTGGTGAGCTGTTTCAGTTATGTCCTACCAGGAGGAGGCCTTGGAGCAGACATGTTGAGGGATTACATCTCTTGGCTGGTTCGGGAACTTTGGTGTCCCTGCCCAAGAGCTGGAGAGGAAAGACTTGGCGTCTCTTCTTGGATGGATTATATTAATTATAAATCTGTATGTTATTTAATAATCAAATAATTGCTGTCTATCTGTAAAATGGCCGTCAGGTCATTAACATAATCCTTTGAAAGCGATGGGAAATTGTGCAGATTTAATGTTATGTTTAATATACTTTTATGGAAAACAAAATGGTGTCATGAGTTGCCAGCCAAATAATATTCAGTAGGTTTGTTACAGGTTATCATCAAAAGGAAATGATAAATCCTTGGATGTGGGAAACTGTTCTTTTTAAAACTTCTTTACAAACTTTGTGTGTGATTTAGGTTCCCTACGTCACTACAGCTCTCATTATGACGTCATCTATTTAGTTATGGTAAAAACATTACTGCAAATGCAGCCGCCTAATTACAAATCTTTGCTCGAGGGATTCTGCTATTGATGATCACCTGTAATACATAAATGTAATGGAATGTGGTGGAGTGTAAATGGGAGCTGAGTTATTAATTATTGATAAGTTATTATTCGAGTCATATGGATTGCCTTGAACTGCCAGCTGATCGAGGCACCAATTGAAATCATACAAGAGCTCTAAGCTGTTATGGAGCGTCTGTTCTTTGATAACTTGATTTTTATGCCTTTTTTATTTTTCAGTTTTAACCCGCCCCTGTGGGGTTGAAAGAAAATTGATCAGACTATTTTCTAGTTGCTTTGATTAGATCATTATCAACATGAAATGAGTTTCCTGCTCTACTTTCCGTGTTTCCTGCAGGTCCTCCGTGCTCCTTCTTGCCCCTCTTCTGGCTGAAACCGACCCAGCCCCTCATCGCGTCTCCAGGCCCACCAGCTCAGCCGGAGCCCAGCAAACAGAAGGTCTTTGCAGCCACTTCCGATGGATGGCAGAGCATGTACCAGCCTTCCGGGTGCCAGGTTCCCACATCCACATTCTGACGTCACCTGACCAATTCTACCAGGCAATGAAGGTCTGTCTCAGAGCATGTTAGCTGGTTTGACTACACAGGATTTATTTTAAAAATGAGAACAAAGCTCTAGTCTGTTCAATATGAAACTTGATAGATGTGTGTTGACTTTTAATACATGTATCACTATGAAATTCCACAAGGTAACCAAGGAAGCGTTATTATCACAGTAGACTCTTCTCTGTGTACTCTGCTGCAGTGTCCACATTGCAGGTGACAATGATTAATTGTTCAAACATGTTTTAGTTGATGCTGACGAGAACTTGAGGAGGAAACTGGCATCCAGACATAATTTTTCTGGTATAAACAATCTGGAAAAACAAGGTACTTTTTAAACACTAAAATAAAAACTTGAGGTCACATGTTAATTCCCGTCTTAAGAAGATGATATCAGATTCACGTGTTCCCATAATGTGGTTTAAGTTTCAGTTCTAAATACCTCACATTCAGTGTTCCCTCTAATATTTCACGTGTCTGAGCAAACACACAAACTCCCTGAGCGGTCCCTTGGACCACTGTGAGCAACAGCAGACGTGTACACTGTGGTCACGCCAGCATCAAATCCATCCAAGTTACATGGTTTATTAAAATAATCAAATTACAGCATTTATGTTAGACTACTTTTAAGTGCTTTAGCCCACTTACAATGAAAATTTAAAAAAAATCTTGTTCATGACCTGTGTAGTATGTTAACACTATTGGAAGTAAAAATAACTCCAATTTTGAAAACAAAACTTTTTTAAATTAATTAATTAATTTTTTTTTATAAAGCGTCTGTAGTCTGGGAGAGAGTCCTGTAACTCTGTCTGCAAAATACAGTAAATAATGACCAATGTTGGGCAATTAATTATATAGTTACTTCTTCAAAAAAAGTAACTGAGTTATGCAAACAACAAAGTTTTTTGCAGCTGTTTACCTAAATATTCAGCCAAAGCATTTTCTAAATAAACATTTCAAACTATTTACAGAACAATCAGAATCAGAATCAGAAAGGGTTTTATTGCCAAATGTTGAGCAGGTTTACAACATTAGGAAATTGCTGCGGTGCTTCAGTGCAAACATACTGTCATAAATTGCGCTTAAATAGACATGAAAAAATAAAAGTAAGAATAAGAATTAAAAGTGCTACGTAGAAAGTAGAGATGGACCGATCCGATATTACGTATCGGTATCGGTCCGATACTGACCTAAATTACTGGATCGGATATCGGAGAAAAATAAAAAATGTAATCCGATCCATTAAATATCACGAAAGCACCTCACAAAACTTGCAACACGCCGTAACTCACCTCAGAACGTTAGCAGTCGGAGCAGTATGCGTCACGTGATAGAGCGGCTGTGGCATGCGGGACCTGTCGGTGGTCTGGATAGCATTTGGAGCTTCGCTAGCAACCTGGCATTTCATCTCCGACAAAGTTATCCCCGAGAGAAGTAAAGCAAGTGTGTAAGTCCATCTCTGAATGTTTGTAAAGCATTCCCACGTTAAGCTTAACGAGCGACTGCCTCTCGCTCTCCGGCTGCTACTTCAATCGTGAAACTGCTTAAATGATCAGCTGATCGGCTTTTCTGTCGCGAGTCTGTCTCTCTTGTTTGTTTTTGGTCCACTTTGCACCAGAAAGAGGAAACCAGCGGCTGAACAACAGCAGCATGTTTAAGCTTGATCAGCTGTTGTTAGAATGTATTTAATATTACTTTCTACTCCAGGATCTTTTTCTACGTAGCTGACGGCTGGTAACTGTGCAGGGGCGGATCTAGCAAAGTTTAGCCAGGGGGGCCGATAGGGCATTAACTGGGAAAAGGGGCACAAAGACATACTTTTCTTTCTTATTCTCATTTAAAATGTCGAGCTTTTAATAAATAATTATCTGACACCCAAAGTTTTAATTTGATGCAAAATGAATAGAAGTCAATTACTGTATATAGTAACTGTTAAGTCTAATATATATACCCTAGTAAGCTATAGTACTTTTTACTTTGGGAAGGTACCATCTGTGCAGTCTGCAATTTTGTTGAAGAAAGATGTTGAATCTATTTAATATTTCTTGAAAAAGAATTGATTTCTGTGCATTTTTTTTCCACACTGCATCAAATTAAGGTTGATTACGTCGATTAAGCATCATGAGGTGGAGCGTGAGGGGTGGTTCCCTATTTTTTATTTATTTATTTTTGTTGTTGCTGGGAGTTGGAACCCTATTAGTTAGGTTGCTTAATATTTACGCTAAGTACTCTTTAAAATACCAGAATAGGGAGGATGGTGTAGGTCTAAGTTTATTAGATTGATCAGTATTGCTGAACTATGAAATATTTTTTTTGTATACAGGTATAACAGAATAGCTTTAGTGTAGTTGTTGTTTTAAACTTGAGTATGAACTTGCAGACTTGCAAAATGCAGCAAGATATTTTAAAAAACAGTTTTGTTGATTAAAAAACACTATATCGGATTCATATCGGTATCGGCAGATATCCAAATTTATGATATCGGTATCGGTATCGGACATAAAAAAAGTGGTATCGTGCCATCTCTAGTAGAAAGATATATGCATGAGTGCAGGTGGTGATCAGTGCCAAACATGGAATGATGCAGTGAACACAGCGTAGGGTCATGTGTTAGTGGTGGGAACAGTCGTACGTTTATTGTTCATGTGTCCAACAGCAGAGGGGAAGAAACTGTTCTTATGGCGAGAGGTTCTGGTGCGAATGGACCGGAGCCTCCTGCCTGAGGGGAGCAGGTCAGCTGTTCTGCATCAAATTTGATGCCACACAAATTATTTGTGCCACTCCAAAAAATTATTTCTGTCCACTATGAGATAAAGGAGAACAACAGCCTGATACCTGCAGGCCTGACAACAGGAGATATATCACTCCTGTAACACCTGTAATATTGAGCAGTCGCCTCATTGTTCTGACACACATAACAAAACTATTGACTACACTGCACACTAACTACACAAGATTTGCGCTAAACATCGCAAATCTCTCACATCTCAAAACACCGCCGTCACTCCTAAAACTTCCCTCCTTCCTAAACAACTGGTCATGGCCATATTGTCATATCATTTTTTTGATTGGTCGACATGGTACATTTTTCCACCAATAGGAAAGGCTGCGGAGTTTTTTTTGGTTTTGTTTTTGCTCACAGGTGGAGAGTGCTTTCCAGCGTTTTCCTTATGAAACGCCATTTTTACCGTTTCTTCCCGCAGTAAATATAAACAACGATAGTATTCAGGAAGAAAACCAAGCATTTCATATATTTTTATCATAACTCTGATTTTACGTGGCCTATCAACACAATTTAAAAACTGGTATAAAGTCCACACTTTTCCCGTCAATTGTTCCGTCTGTCCTGCTCACATCTCCAATGGTTGTACACGTTGTCATTAACGTGGCTTCACTCCACATCAGCCACGCCGCTTTGCTAGCCAAAACACCGGTGTCGGCACATAAGGACGCTGTCATAGCCTGTCAACGACGTTGATTAGCTGCGTATATACGAATGTGAATCACATTATTGGCTGGACTATGGGATAAGGTGGCATCGTTCTAATCCCATACGGGAGCAGCCTGTCACTTACTAACACTGCAAAACAGAATTGTTAAAGTATTAATTTTAATTTCAATTCAGGTTGGATTTTTTTTTTTTGTGCGCAACGCAGATGTGCCAGCAGTGCGCAATTGCGCATGCGCGCAGATTAGAGGGAACATTGCTCACATTGTTCATTTTTTATTCTGGTTTTAACACTCTACAAATGGGTTCTTTTAGTTTCAGTAGTTTTAAATGTAGATGTTGACATCTTTCCTTCTGCTGCCGTGTGTAACTTTTTAGAAGTAACTATTTATTACACAGCGTGCTGCGGGGAAAAGCCTGTTCTAACGTTTGAGTCTAAGGTTTATTTTTTAGCACCTGGGCCCTGTTTCAGGAAGCCGGTTTAGAAAACTCAGAGTGAAAAACGATACTCAGGGTTGAGTAACCCCGAACTGTCCAACTCGGAATATTCGGTTTCAGAAAGGCTGATAACAATTAGTTCAGTCAACGCGGAGTTGCTTTAACCCCAAGTTAAACGCGCGCACGAGGATACATAAAGCCCTGATTAGTGGAGCACAGATTAAGCGAGTCACCATGGAGACGGAGGGAAAGAAGGCGCGGTCAATGTATTTTACAGCACTTGAGGCCGAAATTCTGATGGCAGCATATGCCGATAACATGCAAATTTTGCGGAAAAAAAGTAACACAGCCTCAGCTGCAAAAGAAAGGGTGCATGCATGGCAAAACATAGCCGACAGAGTCAATGCGTGAGTGTTAATTTAAACATTGATCTAGGGATTTCCACCCATTTAACACGTTATTTTATTATATTTTATACATTTTATTTTGTGATGTGACGTGAGCGCAGGTGCAACCCAACAGGCCCCAAACGTTCCTGGCAGCAAGTAAAAATGAAATATAAAAATATAGTCCAAACAGGTAAGGTGTAATTGTATCATGGGCCATAGTGCTTGGTCTGTTTGTCCGATGTAAATCAATTGCAGTTAGAGGCTACATTAATTTCCCCTCTGTAAGCACTTATTGAAATTATCTGAGCACATTACAAGTACATATTTGCTTACTCTGTATGCTCAAATGTGACCCGTTATAGCCAACAGAAAAAAAAGCGGAGGCCCGAAAAACAGGTGGAGGTCGTCCACCACAGAGGCTGAGCAGTTGGCTTCCATATTTGTGATAATGTTGGCAGCATCACATATGATCTTCACAGTGCAGAGAACACAAATTACCATCCATTACTATGATGAAATAATTTGTTAGTTTGAAATGCTACAGGGAGCTATGTACCTGTACATTAATGCTGTGGAAAGACTTCCTGTTCACATAGTCTCCTTCATTTACTGAAGGAGCAATGATTGGAATGTGAGTGCCATCTATACAGCCAATCACGCCTGGGAACCGTGAAAATAAATGTAAAATTTAAGTAGTAGTTCAAGTATCACCACATCATGAATTAAGTTTC